GTAGGCATAGTGGTTAAGGACTGAAATTCCAGCATCCAGGAAACTGAAGGCAGGAAGACTGCTGTGAGTCCAAGTCCAGCTTGACTTAGAGACCTTATCTTAAAACACATCAGGGCAAACCGGTCGTTGGTGGCGCACGCCTTTAATCCCAGCACTGGGGAGGCAGAGGCAGGTGAATCTCTTCGAGTTTGAGGTTAGCCTGGTCTACAGGAAGACTCTGTTTCAAAAACAAAACAAAACAAACCACATCAGGGCAGGAGACTGTGCTCATATTATAGAATAGTTTTTTTTATCTTGAAACAGGATCTTTTTGTTTAAAGATTTTATTTATCCTTATATAGTATTCTGTCTGCCTACAGGCCAGAAGAGGGCACCAGATCTCATTACAGATGGCTGTCAGCCACCATGCGGGTGCTGGGAATTGAACACAGGACCTCTGGAACAGCACTTAACCTCTGAGCCGTCTCTCCAGCCCCTGGATTTTTAAATCACATTAGAGTGAGAAGACCTATCCCAGGCTAGGATCCTGCACTGCAGAGAACAAAGGCGGCCGAACACCACCATTCACTGCTCTCGGCTTCCTAGCTCGGTACCAGGTCCACGCCAGGACTTCCTTACCATGGGCTGACTGCACGATGCAACTGTGGCCCAGAATAAACATGGCCTCCATGACTACAATTCTCTGGGCTTTTGTTGTTTTCTGGTTTTTGTTTTGTTTTGTTTGAGACAGGGTTTCTCTCTGTGTAGCAACTCTCTCTGTAGACCAGGCTGGTCTCCAACTCACAGAGATCCTCCTGTCTCTGCCTCCTGAGGTCTGGTACTGAAGGCCTGCACCAGTGTGCCTGGCCCCTACAGGCTTCGCTACAGAGATGTGTCACACAGCTGATGTCTGCGGGCTTCAATCACCAGCGCAGGCTTCAGTCACCAGCACACAATGAGCTAAGATTCAAGAATTTGCTCCTATAGACAGAAAAGGTCACAGATGTGCAGTAAGCAGGTTCAGATCGAAAAACCTCCAAGCAGGTTAGCATGCTTACTGATGTGCATAGGCTTAAGAAAAAAGGAGAAAGAAAAAGGTATAGACACTCATAAAAAATAGTTTAAGCCGGGCGGTGGTGGTGGTGGTGGAGGTGGTGGTACACGCCTTTAATCCTAGCACTCGGGAGGCAGAGGCAGGTGGATCTCTGATCCACAAGAGCTAGATCCAGGACAGACTCCAAAGCCACAGAAAAACCCTGTCTCCAAAAAACAAAAACAAACAAGCAAAAAGTTTAAAAAATTAAATAAAGTCTTTAAAGAGAAAAGTAAAAAAAAAAAAAAAAAAAGCCACACAGATGGAAAATACACAGCAAGTCCAGATCCTGTATGGTATTTTTTTTTTTTTTTTTGGTTTTTCGAGACAGGGTTTCTCTGTATTGTTTTGGAGGCTGTCGGTCCAGCCTGGACTCAAACGCACAGAGATCCGCCTGCCTCTGCGTCCCGAGTGCTGGACTAAAGGCGTGGCCACCCCCGCCCGGCCCTGTATGGTATATTCATTTTAATTTTTTTCATTGCTTATGAGCAAACAACAGCTGCTGAGGGACACTGGATTATAAAAACTACTAAACTGAACCAACCTATGTATTTATTAAAATGTCTTAACTTCAAAATGGAAGTCAAAAAATACACTATGGGGGAGAAGAGGTTATGCTTTTCTTCCCACAGAAAATGAAGGGCTGTACGTTCATTTAAGGTTGATAGCAGATTTGATCAGGGAAAACCCTCTGAAAATCATCAATACAAACATAAAGAAATAAACTAAAAAAAAACTACAAGACAGGTGACATATATTTTATCTGCTCAAAAAGAAAACAAACAAAACTTTTTTTTTTAGTTTTTCGAGACAGGGTTTCTCTGTGTAGTCCTGGCTGTCCTGGAACTCAACTCTATAGACCAGGCTGGCCTTTAACTCACAGAGATCCGCCTGCCTCTGCCTCCCATATGCTGGGATTAAAGATGTACACTACCACCATCCAGCCAGAAATCATCTTTGGCTGGCCTGTGTACAATACACAGTTCATATTTTTGTTAAAGCACATACATATGTTACCCATGAAAGAACAAGGGAACTAAACACCAATGACAATGATGGCCCAGGTGATCCAGCATCTCTGAGTGCCTCTGTTGCAGTTCATCAAGTTCTGTATCTACAACAGCTTCAAGGCTGCCGGCTGACATGATCCAACCTCACAGACTACTCCAGCCAAACTTCAAATAAACCCTACATTTTCCTATCACACAGAGTTGAGATAACAGCTAGCTCTCCCAGGACTTAAACATTATCCCAATTTTCCCAAGGTCCTGTTATGCTTGTTGTTTATTCTTTACTCTTTTGGCTTTTTGGGGGGGGTCTCACCACCCAGCTCCCAAATAAGTCACACACAAAGGCTTATTCTTAATTATGAGTGCCTGGCATTAGCATGGCTTGTTTCTAGCCAGCTTTTCTTATCTTAATTTAACCCATCTACCTTTCCCTCTGGGCTTTAATTTTTCTTTAGGGGAACCTGGCAGAGACAGAATAGGACACCAGCTGACTTCCATTGGCCTCTGAAATCACCAACAGGCACATATATGCATATACATCATACATACTCACACCCGAGTACTCCCCCTGCCCCCAAATATCCTAAAAAGTCCATCACAATGATCCAGGACAAAGTCTGAGAAACTGACATTAAGGAGACATGTGGCCTACATGCAATAATAATAGGTGAGATCCTGGACCAGAAAAATCATAACCAAAAATACCCACCTCCCTTCTTCTTCTTTTTTTTTTTTTTTTTTTTTTGAGATCAGGTCTCCATACTTAACTCTAGATGTACTGGAATTCACTTTGTAACCAGGCAGGTTTTTTTTTTTTTTTTTTTTTGTTATTGCTGGTGTTTTTTTCTTTTTTTGGTTTTTTGAGACAGGGTCTCTCTGTGACTTTGGAGGCTGTCCTGGAACTAGCTCTAGTAGTCCAGGCTGGTCTTGAACTCACAGAGGTCCGCCTGCCTCTGCCTCCCAAGTGCTGGGATTAAAGGTGTGCACCACCAACTCCAGTTTAAAGAAGCTTCAATAAACTGGTGGTGGCACACCCCTTTAGTCCCAGCACTCAGGATTAAAAAAGAAAAGAAGCTTCAATAATTGACTTGCTTGTTTTTTGAGACAAGGTCTATGTAACCTTGGCTGGCCTTGAACAGACCATGTAACCCAGGCTGGCCTCAAACTGTAGCAATCCTCCTGTCTCTACTTCCCAAGCACTGGGAACTGGGGTTTGAACCACCATGCCTGGCTTGAACAACCTATGACGTTAGTTAATAATAATGCACTGATGCTGATTAGTTAACTGTAAGAAATGTACTTTAAGAATATAAGCTGCTAGTAAAAGGGGAAGGACACAAGGTACACAGGAATTCTTCATAGCACTTTCTCAATTGTTCTAAAATCTAACTGTTCTGAAAAAACGAAGTCTATACCATCTCCCTGGTACAGAATAAAATCTAGTCAAAGTCCTAAGAGGGAAAGAGTTGCTCTTGAGACAGTTAGAAAGGGTGCTCATAGCAAGAAATTCACCACAGAAAGATTAGAAAAGTTGAATATGAAATGTGACAGTATATCCAAAAGTGAGACATTCAGCATTAGAAAACAAAAGACGAAAGCACCTCAGGACAGTGCTAGGAATAATACCTACAGTGAAGCAGCAAATGAAGCAGCAGGTGAGACACGATACTCAAGAAATCTGGGTTTTAACAGTGGCAGTCCAAGCCTATATTCACAGTGCTCCCTGGGTGGCAGAGGCAGACGGATCTCTGTGAGTTCAAGGATAGCATGGTCTACAGAGTGAGTTCTAGGACAGCCAGGACTGTTACACAGAGAAACCCTGTCTCAAAGAACAAAACAAAAAAAACAGCAACAACAGAAAAAAAAATCACAGTGCTCATAGAGCCAAAGCACAAGGAATTCGAGGGCAGACTGGGCTTGCAACACAGCGAGACCTTGATGGAAGGCAGGAGAGAGAGGGAGAGAAAGAATGATAAACACCTGGCTGTGACTCAGAGAGAAACAGAAATGACAGGCCTTAAGTTTTCAATGAAATAGAAAGTGAAGGCTTTTGCCACAAAAGGAAGAATGAAAGGCATACTGACAGAGGTTTGGAGAAAAGTTGGTGAAATAACCATGGGAGAATTTAGGAAACCAGAGAGCAAGAATTGGCAAAAAACTGTGATGCTGACAGAAGTTAGCACCGCCCTGCATCTTAACTTGAGGTTTTCTAGCAATATGTTACAGTCTAAAATCAGAAACCAAGAAAAGAGTTGATGGATATCATTCAATACAAGGACAGTCATGTGCAGTAGTGAGCTGAACACCTGTAACACAACCATAGGTGGGAACAGGGAGAACAGGAGTTCAAGACCAGCCTGGACTACAGGAGACTTTGCCTCAAAAAGCCAAAAAAATACACAAACAAAAAAATGATAAAAGAGGGACTAGGGATATGACTCAGAGGGTAAAGCATTTGCTACACTAATATAAGGACCAGAATTCAGATGGCCAGCATCCACATACATGCTATGGGCTGGCTGACAGCATGCCCATAATCCCAGCACCTGGGAGACAGAGACAGCATCCCAGGAGCAGCATGCCAGGAGCAAACTATCTGAATCACCAAACGCTGGGCTACAGTGAAAGATCCTGCCTGAGATATAAGACGGGGAGGGATCGAGGAAGACATCTGGCATCAACGTCTGGCCTCCACATGCATGTGGACCTGTACACACACATGCACACAGGCAGGTACAAACACACACAGAGACAGACAGACGGACGGACGGACGGACTGACACACACACACACACACACACACACACACACACACACACACACACACACGGAACCAGAATACCAAGTGCAAAAGGCTGCCTCTGTGGATTTGGGACAGTCAAGGGTGACTGGGAAGGAGCTAAAGTGAAGGGGAATACCTGAAAGGAAAGTAGTGTCACAGATGAGGTCCAGGTTGTAGTAATCCTGAGGTGTAGCTGAAAATACAAAGGTATGTCAATGATCTCGTGCTCAGCAACTAGGGAGCTCAGTGTTCCCAAGGTGCTAGAGACAGAATAGCAACAAAAATAAAAACAAAAGGGCTAGAGATGGTTCAGGGGTTAAGAGAGGCTCTTGCAGAGAACCTGAGGACTGGGGTTCGATTCCCAGCACCAATACTGTTGCTTGCAACTCTTAACTCCAGTTCCAGGAGATCTGATACCTCTTCTGATTTCTATGGGCACCAAACCACAAATGGTGCACAGACATACACGAAGGCAAAACACTCACACACATAAAATAGTTAAGTCTAAAAAACAAAACAAAGCATAATTGTGGGCAGTAGATAGGACACTGATTTTATGGGAGTTTTACAGGAACCACTACAATTGCAATGAAATGCATTACATAAGAGTCACAACAGCAGTAGGAAGTAGGAAAGAAAAGAAAGCAGTTCATTCCTTTTTTCTTCTATACAATCACAGAAAACAGAAAATAACTCTGATTGCAGGGCAGGGGCCAGATGGACTGTGTGGATAAAAACAATAAGGAACACATCAAAAGCTGCAAATTGCCCATCATGGCCTTGGCGGTGTGCGCCTTTAATCCCAGCACTCAGGAGGCAGGCAGAGGCAGGTGGATCTCTATGCCTTCAAGGCCTGCCTGGTCTACACAATGAGCTCCAGGCCAGCCAGGACCCCATAGTAAGACCATATCTGGGGGGAGGGGGACAGGGGTTCTATTTAAGGTCAGGCATGGTGGTGCATGCCTTTGCTCCTAGCACTTCAGAGGCTGAGGAAGGTGGATCTCTCTGCATTCAAAGTAAGTCTGGTCTGCACAGGGAGTCCCAAGCCAGTCAGAGACACTGTCTTCAAACAAACAAAAACCCAGCGGATACTTAACGACCTACCACCTAGTAGAGAACATAAGAAATGTTGCTGGAACTCTTTGAAATGCAAGAATAGGAAATGGTAGCAGAAATACCAGTTGTCAATAAGTACCATATAACGTAGGAAACCTACCTATAAGGAACACTTAAAGCAAACCAAGAGGCATACATGGCACATGTTAAACACACCATGCATACACTGCACACAAACAGGATCACCTCTGTGAAACACTAAGCCAGTGACTCCACGTGAAGACCACAATGAAGGATACAAAAAACAGTAGCCAGGCACTTGCACTGCATTTTACAAACGTGTTTCATATATCTATTTGATCATCTCCAGGTCAACATTGCTATTGTGCACATTATTCTAAAGGCAAGGCAATTAGAATGAGACAAAAATAAATACGAGGGAAACTAATTCTCAGTTTCACACACAAACACAGACTTCAACATTTCAAGACAGCGCTAGACTGAAATTCTTCAAGCTATAAGGAATAACGGGGTTCTGCTAATTGTCAAAGATGTTGATAGCAAGGCCAGTAGATGCTCCCCTGGTTTTTTTTCTCTGACTTTAGATGGGAAACTCCATCAATAAGAAAAGTCTGGGTGAAAGTTAAATTCCTCTTCCCTTCGTGTACCTCTGGACTTCAGGGACACCCCCCCGGCCCCCGCCAACAAAGAGTGAGGAAAGCATGTGTAGCAGACAGAGCTTGGAGAAAAAGAATGACAACAGGGTAGGGTAGAGGGCAGGTTAACAGCAAGAAATGGGGGAGGGGGCGGGAGGTTGGATTTGGAGGGAACGGATCGTGGAGGAGCCCGTAAAGCTGCAGAACCCCAAAAATGTTGGAACTCCAGCAGCTAGAAATAGCTGAGGCTCCTAAGGGTCCCGGAGCAGGGGACATTGAAGGACCCCCTGGGTTTGAGAGACCGGAAGCAGAGACCCCCCCAAAACACGAGACCAGAAGGGGGCGCAGGTGATAACCCACGGGAATGAATGGGGAAGGCGGTCCGGGGGCGGGGCCAAGGAGGGGCCCCGGGATGGGCGTGGCACAAACCCCTCTCCAAGCCCGAACCCCTAACCCAAGAGTCCCGAGAGAAGCGGCTCCGCGATTCCCGCACTCACCGCCGGTCTCGTCAGTTACATAGGGAGTCGCCATCTTGAGAACCCGAACCACTTCCGGCGTGAGCGGGCTGGGGTCCCGCCCCCTCCCCACCGGAAGTGGAGTCCTCATCCTAGCAAGCCACCATTTTACTCTTAAAGAGAGACTGCACCATTTCCCTGACCCGGGCGGAGGAAAAGGGAGGGCAGACGCTCAGGACAGTTTATAGAGGCGTGGGCTCTTTTACTAGCACCGACCCCATTCTTTAGCGCCAGGGGTATACGAGACAGTCCTCTGGGCTCCCAGAGAGGTCCCGACTCAAGCCCTCTCTCTACTCACGCCCCAGGCTAATGCTCGCACGCCCAAGGCTCACCGAGAGGAAAGGAATACACAAGGCCCGTGGCCTGCACACATCACCCACCGCCAGGGAGTTGACAAGGAGCAGAGAAGCCCCAGGGATGCGCGACTGTGTCTGGGAACGGAGCGCAAGCCCCCACCAACACTTGGAAGGCGGGCAGGCGGGCTCGGCATGCCGATTCCTCTCGGCAGCCCAGCCCAGCTCTGCAGAGACCAATGGAAGGGGCGCGCAAAGAGCAGGGCACTGCGGGTCGGTCACCTGTCCCCGTGGCCTCGGGGGTGCCGGCGGTTTCCATGACCCAGTCGGGCGAGCAGCCCTCGCCAGTGCTGCCCCCTGAGATCCCGCGGCGAAGTGACTTCTTGCCCGGCTGCCCGGCCGCGGATCCTCCCGGGTCAGAGGACACCGGGTGGAGGCCTTTGGGCGGACCCAGGCAGCATTCTAATGAGCCGCGCCCAAGTGTCCCGATCAGCTTTTGGCGACCGCGAGCCGGGCGGCTCTTCAACTATCGGGACACGTGTGGCCCCTCCCTCTGTTAGGCTGTGCCCTGCCGGGTGCCTCGTTCTTCAAGCGAACCCCAAGTGCCCCGTCCGTGTCCCCCGCACCCCACCCCACAACTCCCCACTCCCGCCTTCGGCAACTTAGTTCCTTCGGGGCTAAGTTCTGTTAAACTTGTTTCCCCTGCAGCCCGGAAAGTGCAAGCTGCAAACTCCTCTCCTCCAGGTGTCCGACTCTGCCCTCCTTCCCTAATTTGCTTTTTTTGTTTTTCCTCTTAACTCTAGCACCTTCCTCTATTGCCCACCTCGGCCTTAGGTTAATTAATGTCCTACAGGGCCTCTCGAATTGAGAAGAAGGGGAAAATATTAGTGACTACCTCAACAATGCACGGCATGTCCCACTTAAAAAAAAAAAAGCCGGGCGTTGGTGGTGCACGCCTTTAATCCCAGCATTCGGGAGGCAGAGACAAGCGGATCTCTGTGAGTTCCAGGCCAGCCTGGTCTGCAGAGCGAGTTCCAGGACAGCCTCCAAAACATCACAGAGAAACCCTGCCTGTCTCGAAAAACAAAACAAAACAAAAAAAAGGGAGCCGAGCCGTGGTGGTACGTGCCTTTAATCCCAGCACTGGGGAGGCAGGGGCAGGTGAATTTCTGTGAGTTCGAGGTCAACCTAGTCTATAGAGCGAGTTCCAGGAGAAACAGTGCTACAATTAGTAAACCCTGTCTCAAAAAAAAATAGTAATAATTAAAAAAATAAAAAACAGGCTGACAAGGACCTTAACTAAATTCAGCCTTAGAAGTTTTTTGCAAGCCTACACTACATAATGCCTTCTTTCAAGACAGGGTTTCCTATTGTTTTGGAGGCTGTCCTGAAACTGGCTCTGTAGACCAGGCTGGCCTCGAACTCACATAGATTCGCCACCACTGCCCAGCTGTGAATTTTTTTTAAAAGAAAAATGTTGGGGCTAAAAGTGGCTCAGCAGCTAAGCGTGCGTGCTGCGCCTGCGCCTGCACAGGACCTGGAGCTCCCAATGCCCGCACTGAAAGGTTCAGGCATTGCGCTGGCCTGCCCTGTTACCTGGCAGGATACACTCAGGCAACACTCTGGCCAGCCCAGAGTTCTGAGAGAACCACGCAGGTGCAAAGGACCCCTTTAAAGGACTGACCCCTGCCCGTTTACGCTTAAGCTCTCCTTTACTCTCCCTCCTCTTCCTCTCTCTCTCTCTTTCCCTCTCTCTCTTTCCCTCTCTCTCTCTCTCTCTCTCTCTCTCCCTCTCCCCTCTCTCTCTGTCTTTCTGTCTCTCTGTCTCTGTCTCTGTCTCTCTCTCTCTCTCTCTCTCTCTCTCTCTCTCTCCCTCTCTCTCTGTCTTTCTGTCTCTGTCTCTGTCTCTGTCTCTCTCTCTCTCTCTCTCTCTCTCTCTCTCTCTCTCCCTCCCTCCTTGCACAGGTTGGTTATCTCTCACCCCCCCTTTCCCTCCCTGTCTACCTTGGGATCGTTGAGTCACGGTTTGTGTTTCGTTACTGGATAAACTTAGACATTTTAACAACACACACCAGATGGCTTTACAATTCTCAGAGCTCTGACTTCTCTCCCTGGGGTCCATCTCAAGTCTCAAAATCAATTTTTAAAAAATTTTAATTATTTTTTTATTTTTGAGACAGGGTTTCTCTGTGTAGCTTTGTAGACCAGGCTGGCCTGAAACTCACAGAGATCCGCCTGCCTCTGTCTCCTGAGTGCTGGGATTAAAGGCGTGCGCCACCACTGAGCCTGGCAATACTTCTCCCTCACTGTGTCTGTGGACCTGAAGTCTAGTTAGCAGTGCTAGGCAACCGTTCTGGCCGGTGAACAAACCCCAGTCTGCCAGCCCACACCTGTTTCTGTAATCAAGTGTCCTTCAGTACCCTTTCCTGAAAGAGGACAAGGAGATGAGAAATGGGATGCCGGTGCCTCTAAAACTTATTGGGGTGCATGACTCTTGACTGAACTATTTCAAAAGTGGTTTCTACAACTCCGAATGGACCTGCTCAATGAGGGGAAATCCTCATCGACCTGTTTACTTTCTAATCCGGGACACTCCCCATCACTGTACCCCTCAGACATCCTGCCCCCATCTCTGAAGCCTGGCAGGAAGCGAAACTCAATTGTCTGTTCCCCCGACCAGCCTTGTACCCAGCTCTGGGCCCCGGATGTGTACCCCCACCCAGAGGAGGAAGAAGAGGCTGGGAAAACAGGCTTGTTTTTTCCTTTCCCTTTGTTCTTTGTGGTTTCTTTCTTTCTGATTTTTATGATGCATTGGTTAAAGAGCTGAGCACCTGGAGCTATAGGCATTCGACAGCCCTCCTGAGACGTGTCTGTGCTTTTCTATAGGCATTAGACAGCCCTCCTGAGCACCTGGAGCTATAGGCATTCGACAGCCCTCCTGAGACGTGTCTGTGCTTTTCTTTCTTTTTTATTGAAGGCGGTGTGTGTGTGTGTGTGTGTGTTCGAGACAGGGTTTCTCTCAGTAGCAGCGCTGATGTCCTGAAACTCACTTTGTAGACCAGGCTGGCCCCCCAACTCGCTGAGATCCGCCTGCCTCTGCCTCCCGAGTGCTGGGGTTAAAGGTGTGCGCCACCAACGCCAGGCATTTCTCTGCTTTTTTTCCTCCCACCCCTCCAACAACTGACTTGGAGTATGGTGCAAAGAGGGCTAGACTGGTTTCCTCTTATTCTTTGTTAGAGAAATCGTATTCTGATTTTTTTTAATGTAGGAGTGTCTTTTAAGAAAGAATGAAAGTGTTTGTTGAAGCCGAGAGGGCGGCATGCACCAGTAATCCCAGTACTTGAGAGTCTGAGTCAGGATGGCAAATTCAAGGCCAGCCTAGGCTACACACCTACTGAAATCTTGTCTCTGAAAAAATAAATAAAAGTTTGTTGACTGTCAATAAGGAGGCTATATAGGAAGGAGAGATAAAGCTTTGCTAACAGTGGAGAATTGGGCAGTGGTGGCTCACCGGGAGGCAGAGGCAGGTGGATCTCTGTTGAGTTTGAGGCCAGCCTGGTCTACAGAGTGAGTTCCAGGACAGCCAGGGCTTTAGAAAAACAAACAAAACAAAACAATGAAGGATATTACTCTTAAAAATGAAGGATGTGGGGTTGGGGTGTCAACTAACGGTAGAGCACCGGGGAGCGCGTTCCAGGCGCTGAAGTTCACCTGAGCATGAGGGTGGAGAAGGACAAGGAAGAGAGAGGAAAAAGAACCAACGACGAATCAAGACGCAAACAAAACAAGACAAAAAAACACCTGGAACAGAGACAGATTACTCTCCAACCCCTGATCCGGACCCACAATTAAAGTTAATAATAATAATAACTAGAGAGAAATTGCTTCAAGGAGCTTGTCTCCAAATATTTGAGAATCGCTTAGTTCTCCGTTTCCACTAGAGGGCCTAATGTTTTGGTTTTTCCTCTGACCCTCACTGGGCCCAAATATTTATACATATGAGGTGTGGATGTATATACACAACACAGAGACAGACACACACATTTCCAACCAGCAGTCTCTCCTCCCACTCGTTTGCACTCCCAGATATAAAAGGAGGCAATTCCAAGAACCCCAGCTTTGTGTTCTCTCCAATTTCAGGGACGGGTAGGAGGGAGTTAGTCAGGATTTGGGGGCGGGACCTGGGTCCCCCAGTTGCTACCAGTAAATCCTTAGGCCTTGGTCTCTTCTCTGTACTCTCCCAGCGTCTCGCCATCCATGCTACCCTAAGAGTCCCAGCAACTCCAGAGTACAGGTAGGAGGCACACAAAGGCTTTGCCTCCAGCGGCACCTTTGCCCAGAGCCGTCTGTGCCTTCTGCCACGGCCAGAGGGTAAAGTGCCAGAGCTGGGTATGGAGAGAAGGTGAAGGCAGACAACCGGGCTCTATGCACCCAAACCTCCACCCTGGTCTTAAGGAGAGGATATGGATGTTGGAGAAAGAGGTGTGCATAGGCAGTCTTTAGGGGAGCTGAGGAACCCCCAGGGGAGGTGGGTCAGACAGGTTCAAGCAGTGTGGAGCAATGTGGAAAAGGGAGATGAATCTGGGTCTTAAGTTGTGAAGTGTGGAACTGTGGCCTTTCCCTGCACGTAGAGTCGTTGAGTTGGGCAGCTGAGTCCAAGATGACGATGTGGAGACTGGAGGGCGGACCAGTTGCTGACCAGTTGCTGACCAGTTGCTGGGTGGTTCGATCAGCACCCTGACCCCTACCTTGGCCTCCCGGGGGAGGGGATAATGGGAGAAACTGTGAGTAATTAGAACGAAGAGAAAAAAACAGGAGTAGAGCTGCCCCAGGCGTGGGAAGACAGCAGCGTGGGAGTGGAGAAAGTGGCACAGACCAGAGAGCCCTGTGTTCTGGAGCCCGGCAGAAGAAGGTCGTGTTGGAAAGCTGGCCACAGCGGTGGTCTAGGCTTCGGCGGGAGGGCAGGCTGGGTGGGGGGGCGGGCAGTTTGTCGTCAGGAGCAGGGCGGCCCCGGGGCGGCCGCGTCTGCCTAGCCCGTCCCCTCCAACCCAGCTCGGGCTCCTGCGCCCCAGTTGTGATCGTGCCGTGCGCCCTGCTGGGGCAAGGTAGAGTCCCCGGCGAGCCCCGCCCCGCTCGCACACTCTCGCACTAGGGCAGAAGGGCCGCGGAAGGGGCCGCCCCACCGGCTGGGACAGCGCTGCCGCGTCCGGAGGAGGAAGCGTTGACAGCTGGAGCCGGCTGCTGAAAGCCTTTGCGCCGGGACGCGGGAGCTGCCTTTGGCTGCGCAACACCCGGGTAAGCTTCATTTCCCCCAGACCTAGCCCCCTATCCCGTATGATCACCCGGAGAGCTGGGGAAGCTCGGCTCCTGAGGACTCGGAAGAAAGGTCCCTTTTGAAACCCACAGTGCCACAGGGGTGGAAGAAGGGTTCTTCTCTGGCCTTTCCACACCTGTCGCGGGGAAGTTTCTGAAAAGACTGGGTGGGAATCCCTTTCCGCTTTAAATATGATAAATGAACCCGGTTACCGAAGAAGGAAAGCAAATGTCATTGGTCGTGTCTACACCCTCAAAAAATACAAGCCCACGTTCCCCCCAGCCATGCCAACGTCGTAACTTCCTCCTGTACTAGTAGCTACGAAGCCCTCCGCACAGGAACATAGCGTGTCACCCCCTCCCTCATCCAGGCACACAGTTATCCCTGATGTTTGTGGTGGTTTAATGAATTCTGACGCTTAAACAACATAAAATTACCCCTGACTAGTAGCCGGGATGGAGAGGAGAGAACGTATCCCCAACCCTGGGCAAAAGGGGGCACCATCCCTGATATGGTTAAGTCTAGCTCATCAGGCCTGGCTCTGAAACCAGGATCGCCTGATCTGTGAAGTTTCTTACTAGGACATCCTGAATGTCCTAGAGACACAGCTAATTCTTGAATAATGGTGAACTTGGAAGTGAGCGATGAAGTGAAAAGGAAACTTAAAAATGTATAGTGCCAGTTGTGGAAACCTTAGCTCTTTGATAACTGCATTAGACCTAGAGGATGAGCGGCTCCGAGACGGTGGGACGTACCACAGACAAAAGTGTTGAGCCTTATTGTCTTTCTGAGCTCAGGATGTTGTAGGATTCTTTCCCTCCCTCCAAGTCAGTTTCTTCCGGTCTCACCCTAGGTTGATAGAGGTGAGTCGGGAAACCAGGGGAGGGGAGGGACCGGTGAGTCACAAATGGCTGGGGGTAGGGCTAAGGACCCCACCCTTCCAGCCCTGCATCTGCCTGGACTAGCCCAGGTTATAGCCTCAGGGTCGGGTTGGAGCTGAATGACAGCTTTGGACTTGTTCCAGGTCTTTAAGGCCCCAGGATCCAGGCAGTTTGCTTCCTTTGAGGTTCAGGAGCATCCATACTATCAGTGACAGAAGTCAGGGCAACTGAGTAAATCCCCAGAAGGTCCCATGTCCAAGGTCCCAACCCACAGATGTCCCCAACTCTATTGTTTCTAGCCACCTCCTCATTTCTCAGAGGTAAATCATGATCTTGATGCTACTACATGTCTGTACCTGACATAGGTGTTTTTAGTTTGGGGTGGAAGGTACATAACAGGGGTTCACTATTTGTGGGAGTCATGAGAATTTATGAGTTCTTGGCTTAAAAGTGTAATTTTTTCCTAACATCCAAATGTGTTTCTTTTTTTCACTTTTTTTTTGGGGGGGGTGGAGGACAGGATTTCAACAAAATTGCCCACGCTATATCCTTGAACTTTCTCTGTAGCCCAGGCTTGGCTTCATCCTCCTCTCCGTCTCCTGAGTAGCCGGGATTGCCTGTATATGCCTCACCAGTCATAGCGTTATTTTCTATGTGTTACTTTATGTAATGCTGGCTGCTGCGTATTGAATTCTTATTCTGTGTCATGCAGTTTGCTACGTGCACTTGCTTATATAAACTTACTGTGACTAATTAGGTACCTATTTACTGATAAGTTTGCACTGGTGTGTGTAGCTCAGTAGAAGGCTTACCTAACACGCTTGAGATCTTAAGGCCCTGGGTTAGATCCCAGCTTTAAAAAAAAATGAATGTGGTTCAATAGTAAAATGACTCATCTAAGTGCTAGGATTCTAACCTGTACCTAATTCAAAAGTCCATTCCTGAGCAGGGTGTGGTAGCAGATGCCTGTAAGTCCAGCTCTTGAGAGGCTGGGACAAGAGCTGTATAGTGAGAGCCTGGCTGGAAAGCAAACAATAGAAGGGAAAACATTCTGTTTCCGTTATATATATAAATATTGCCTCTCCAGGTGACTCCAGGGGAGTCAAGGAAGGGACTGAAGTGTCTTGGCCTCTCTCCTGCTCATTGTCTCTTGTTTGTTCTCCCTACCATCGTCTCCCTCAGATCCCATCTCCCGTATTGCCCTCAGCAGGGATCAGAGATGCTGATTAAACTCTTCAAGCTCTATTGACCATAAGACTCACATATTCTTTATCTCTGTTGGCAACAGAGGATGGATTCTAGTCATTGGTGAAAGCCAGGAAGGCAAAGTCCTGTTCTTCTCTGGTGTCACTGTCTTAAAAGACCCTTTTCAAGTGTTCTCCCAGAACCCCTGGAACATGGATGGGTGTTATGATGCCTGTCATGGGGCAAAGGTTTCAGAGATCTGATGCCACCAGGAAGGAAAGGGCTGATCTTTCTTGTAACCCCAACTGCCTCCCTGTACCCAGACTAAGATTCCCTAAATGCATGGATAGAGGTCACGGTGTTTTGTTTTGGAGCCAAGGTCTCAGGTAGGGCATCTGACCTTGATTTTCTGATCTTCTGTCTCCATCCACTTCCCAAGTCCCTGGGACTACAGGTATGTATCTTCATGCTTGGTTTCTGTAGTGTTGGGGATTGAATCTGTACATGCTGAGAAGGTGTCTTACCAACTGAGCTACACCTCCAGCAAAGCCAGAGTGTCTGGTGAAATACCTCAATGAGTGCTTTTTAGCACCAGTCACAGATGTAAGAGCTATTTATTTAGTAACTACTGTCTACCTCCAGATTATCTCATACTTCCCCGGCTGACAAGTGGACACTCTGTGTCATCCTATTTGTCCAAACCTGGATTAATAGTCCCCCAAAATGACCATTTGTACAACCGACATTGAAAGATTGAATTCATGAGGTCTCCTGTTTTAGGTCCTGAGGCAAAATAGAAAAGAAGACTGACAAGTTCCTGCTTTTGTGAAACCAACGTTTTGGTAGACTGTAAACACTTAGAGAAGGGATAAAAATTCCTGCTTGTGATTTGAAGGGAGCCACACCTGAGGTAGAACAAGAAAATAAAGAGACTGAGGCAGAAGGTTTGCATGAGTTTCAGACAAGCTTGGGCCAGTGAGACCCTGTCTGAAAAACAAAACCGGATGGAACATCCGGGAAGTTCTCACAGATGAACTGGTGTTTAGGTGAGATGGCTTTGCCAGGAATAAAGTATTCCAGTCAGGCAGGACGGCAGAATCATGGCGATAACCAGGTAACCCTTGGTGTGCAGAGGAGCCAGGCAGCAGTGTGTGGCGGGGAGAGTGGGCCAGAGTAGAGGCAGAGGCTGGGCGGGGCCTCACTCCTGCTGCTTATCAGTCCTTTTCGGTTGTCCCAGCCCATGGCTTCCTTGGGCTTCAGCTGTATCTTCCTTCTCCTCTCTTCCTTTTTTTCCCCTTCTCTTTTATAAAAATTTGTTTATGTTTAACAAAGTGGCATAAGTGTATATAGGTCAGAAAACAACTTTGTGGAGTTTCTTCATTCTTTTACCTTTATATGGGTTATGGGGATGCAACTCGGGTCTCCAGGCTGGTGGAACAAACTCCTTTAGCTGCTGGGCCTTCTCAGCAGCCCCTCTTGGTTTCTCGGGGCTTTTGTTTTGAGACAGGATGTAATTGAACTTTTTCGTCGGGACCATTGATTCCCCAATAATGACATGAAGACTTTTTTTTTTTTTTTTTTTTTTTTTTGGTTTTTACGAGACAGGGTTTCTCTGTATTGTTTCAGAGGCTATCGGTCCAGCCTGGCCTCGAACGCACAAAGATCCGCCTGCCTCTGCCTCCCGAGTGCTGGGATTAAAGGCGTGCGCCACCACCGCCCGGCGAAGACTTATTATTAATTATGGAAACTCAGCTGATAGCTTAGGCTTGTTTCTTTCTTTCTTTTTATTTTTGAGACAGGGTTTCTCCATAGCTTTGGAGGTTGTCCTAGAACTCTCTCTGTAGACCAGGCTGGCCTTGAACTCACAGAGATCCACCTGTCTCTGCCTCCTGAGTGCTGGTATTAAAGGCATGCGCCACAAACGCCTAACAGGTTTGTTTCTAACTAGCTTTTATTTTTTTAATATCTTATTTATTTATTTTTAATTTAGGTGCACATTTGTCTGTTGGAGGGTGTTGGGTCCCCTGGAACTGGAGTTATAAAAAGTCGTGAGCTGCCACATGGGTGCTGGGAATTGAACCGTGGTCCTCTGGAAGAGCAGCCAGTGCTCTTAACCGCTGAGCCATCTCTGCAGCCCTGTAACTAGCTTTTATAACTTAAATTAACCCATTTATATTCATTAACATGCTGCCATATGTTCATGGCTTTTGCCTGTCTCCCAGCATGTCATGCTCTCTCTCTGCCTGGCTGTTACTCTGCCTTCTTCCCAGTGGTCTCTCTGCCCCCCAAATCCTGCTTACCTATTGGTCATTTAGCTTTTTTGGGGGGGGTTCGGGACAGGGTTTCTCTGTGGCTTTGGAGGCTGTCCTGGAACTAGCTCTTGTAGACCAGACTGGTCTCAAACTCACAGAGATCCACCTGCCTCTGCCTCCCGAGTGCTGGGACTAAAGGTGTGTGCCACCAACACCCAGCCCATTTTGCTTTTTATTAAACCAATCACAGTGACATATCTTTGTACAGTATAAAGGAATATTCCACAACATCTCCCCCTACTTGTCTAAACTAGAACGAAAGGTTTTAACTCTAATAAAAATATAAATAATAAGAAAAGTTACAATGTTCAGTCTGTTTGTATTTGACATTTGGACAAAGTACTCCATTATTTATTCAATCTTGGTGAGTCCAAGGCTCTATACCTAATTTATTTCTGTCGTAACTAAGGGAAACTGCAACTATAACTGTCTAGTCTTCAACTCCATCAAGGGCCCCAGAAGGATATGGTATACTGCCTGAGTAAACAGAAAGGGTGGAAAAACAACTTCCAAAAGTATAGAAATAACAGAAACAGCTGGCTCCCGGGACAATCACCCATGGTTCCTCTGTAATGTTGAGCCATTCATCTTTGGCCTACAGGT